CCGCGCGGGGGGGGGGGAGGCCATTTTTGGGGGGACTGACACAGGGGGGTTCAGGCCCCCGGGGATAAATTAGGTGCAAGAGCCACCGCGCAGAGGGGCCCAATGAGTTCTGGACCGTGTCCTCAGTGGTGAGGCGTTGCCCGAGCACAAAAGGTGGAAGTTCAATCCCAGTCAGGGCACACACCTGAGTGGCAGGTCCATCCCCAGATGGGTTGGTACAGGAGGCACTCAATTGATGTGTCTCTCACAACAATGTTTCTCTCTCTCACACACACACACACATCAATGTCTCTCTCTCTCTCATCAATGTCTCACACACACACATCAATGTTTCTCTCTCTCTCCCTCTCTCCCTTCCACTCTCTCTAAAAATTAATGGAAAAAATATCCTCTGGTGATAATTTTTTAAAAAAAGAAAAAGAGGCGCCTACTTATGCAGATCTGTGGCTGGACTAAAGCTGTGGGCGGCATCAGGACTGGTCAGGAGGGGACAGGGACCCCAGGGGAGACCTGGGGAGGTGAGCATGCCCGGGAGAGTGGGGAACGGGAACATGGCAGCCTCCCGGAGACAATGACCGGATCAGAGATGAAGGAGGACAGGAAGACCCACCCTGAGGGGCTGCAGGGCCAGGGAGGAGGGTCTCACCTCCAGGCCCTGAGCTGGCAGAGGCCCCGCCCCCTCCTTCCCCAGAGAGGAGGGAAGGGCACCTACCTGTGCAGTTTCCCTGGGAAAGCCTGATGGTCAGCAGAGGAGCATCTGGGGAGGGAAAATGTGCTGACTCCAGGGGGGCATGTTCCCTTTGCCCCAGGGCCCCCTAAGCGGGAGGGCTGGGGTTTTACTTCAGCAAAATCCTCTGGGAAAGGAAACCCAGGACTGATCCTCCCTCTGCCCCGGGGGACCCAGCCCCCCCTCCAACACTCACAGGAGACATTGAGCCGGATGGTTCTCTGCGTGGCCACCCAAGATCCTTGGAGTTTCACCTGACAGGTGAGGCTGGTGCCATGGTCCCGGGGCCTCGGGGTGAAGGTGAGCACCGAGGAGCGGAGGGTCTGGGGGTCCAGCGAGTCCACAGTGGCTCCCGCCCAGGAGAAGGTGACAGGTCGTCCCCCTTCGCAGGCCCCTGGCAGGCTGCAGGCCAGCTGTGTGGGGCGGCCGGACTCCAGAGGCTCCCTCATCCAGATGTGGGGTTTCTCTGTCAGGGCTGCAGGGGAGAAAGGCAGGTGCCTGGGCTCCAGGGGTGGGGACTCAGAGTGGGACCCTGAGAGAGGCCCTGACTCAGGCCGAGCTCACCCAGGCCATGTGTCCCTTCCCACCACCCAGGGCCCACGGCCTGGACAGGGAGTGTCCAGTGTCCTGTTCCCGCTCTAAGACGGGGTCCCCTGTCCCTGGTTTCTCTCCAGGGCCCCTACTGTACCTGTCACCTGCAAATCCAGCATCTTCTCTTTGTAATTATATTTCACAGAATCTCCTCTCTCCACTCGGAAGACATAGCGTCCTGAGTCACTCCTCCTGGCGTCTCTGATTTGCAGGGAACAGTTGTTGGTCTTGGGGTCCGCGAGGAGGAAGCGGCCTCGGGTCTCTCTCTTCACTGTTTTATTCCGGTTGCTCGAGGCCACAGGAGCAGCATAATCTGTGTTGTCCCAGTCCCGGTACCAGAAGGTGTACAGTTCACTAGAGGAAGACCACGGACTCCCCGGGTAGGAGAAGGAGCAGGGCACGTGGACACACAGACCCTCCTGCACCGTCACTGATTCCTGCACTCGGAGCTCATAGCGTGGTGGCTGCTGCAAGGACCCTGGGGGAGGGGGACACAGAGGCTCAGATGCAGCCCGAGCCCCTCCCCCACCTGCCCTGCCCCCCCTCCCTCAGCCACTCACCCCCCCACAGCAGGGGCAGCAGCAGCAGGGGCACCATGTCTGCCTCTGGCAGGGCAGAGTGGGTCCAGGTCCCTGTGTCAGGGAGCGAAGTGCCCAGCTCTGGGGTGGAGCCTAGGACACCCCAACAGGAAGCCCTGGGAGAGAGACTGTGGCCAGGCTGGAAGGGGAACTTGGCCTCCACAGGAGTTCAGGGGGTGGTGCCTGAGAAATCTTTCTGTCTCCCCTCCCCACGCCCCGCCGTGACCCTGCAGGCAAATGTCCTGAGGCCCTGGGAGGCTGAGCGGCTTGTCCAGAAAGTGACCCCCTTACAGAGGATGTGTAAGTGGGGAGGGAGGTCGCCCAGGGGCCAGCACACTCAGAGCTGGTCCTGGGGACTCGGGGGGGGAGGCGCCCTCCAGCTGGAACTGTAGAACATTCTGGAAAAGGATCATTTTAATATTTTTTTATAACAAGTGCTGGCAAAAGAGAGAGGAATTTAGACCCAAGTCCAGTGGAGGGTGGAACCCAGGGGCAAAGCTGAGTGGTAAAGGCCTTTGCTCTGAGGGCTTCTTGGGGACGTGGGACGCACCTGTGTTAGCTTCAAGGGTCTGAGTGTCTGAGGGACAGCAAGGGCGCACAAGCCCCATCGGAAACGGACGCCCCATTTGGTGGGGCCTCAGCACAGCAGCATCGCTGCCACCTGAAAGTTCATGAAAATCCTCCTTCCTGGCCCCTCATCGCTGGGTCCCTTCTCAGAGCCCCACCCAGGCTGATGGGAAGTGTTCCCTTTCTGCTCCATCTGTGTCCCAACCCGGGCATCACAAACCCTGACATTCCATTCCCGCTGCTGGAGCACATAGTGGGGCTTCTGTGTGCCTCGCTGCCCTTGACTGATGGGATCTCAAGGGAGGAACCAATGAGCGCGTGGGGGGTGTCAAAGGCCTTCAGGATAACCTCACAGTCAGCTAGGG